TTCCGGTTTCTGGAAATTTAGTGGCTACTTTGCATCTGTCTGAGGTGAATAAAACTGTTTCCTTTGTATATAGGACCTTTTTTTTTATCACATTCCTAAGATGAAGGCAAAACAGTTGAGCAGAAACAATGAATCCACTGCCAACTGCAATAGTTACTTGGGCTTAAGAATGATGTAAATACTGATTGAAACTTGAAAAACAGTGTTGTCTGGTTACTCATGTTTAAGTATATGGATCTTACTCCATATGTACTATATTATTATTAATATTTTTGTTTAGAATCAAAATCAATGAAAATCGATTTGTTGACATGGCAAAATATTTTGATTTTTATCTAAGCTGAAATGAAATAAATCTTTCAATATTTTGTATTTCTAGAATGTATATAATATAGGTGGTTGGAAGTACATTAGATGTCCAAATCACGTTATGTTGTCTTTTATTCTCCAAAAAAATTCACCAACTTTGGGTTTACGTTTTTTTTTTTGCCCTGCTTTTTGGTTCCATTTCCGTTACCATGTGGAAAATTGTACCACTGATTAAGTGGCATTATTAGGAACTGGATTGTTTATTTTTATTTTTTAAATAATGTTACCAATTTGCAGGTAACTAGTTCACTTCTGGGTAACCTGCTTGATTTGGTTGATGAGGTACAGTCAGTGCAGATGGTGCTTCCAGATCTGACTCAATCGAGTTTTTGTTCACCATCTGGTAAAATATATGGAACACATGCATGTTCCCCAAACAATATGTTTGTATGAAACTATATGGAGCTTAATATGCTACTGACATGTTAAGCTATTCCCTCCTAATACATTTCTCGATATGTGATGCCAAATTTCATTCACTTAAAGATTTCATCAAAATTACCGAAAAATATTAAGCAATAGAAAATAGTTTCTGAATATGTGAGTTTCCATTGCAGCCGAGCAGCTTCATCTCGTGCTTTGTTTCTTTAATTTCACTTCTGGGCGGAAGGTGAATCTCACTCTTGATATATCTTGCTTGAAACGGTTTGCTCCATTCCCTTCTATTATGAATAATTGCTATCATCACCATTTTAATCAATTACACCCTGGATGCTATGTGTAATAAAATACAAAATTGGTATTTATATGGTTTTTTTACTGCAGCGGAATTTATCCTTCTGAGATTGTCCCACTTCAATTGGCCTCGCCTGGAGACCGTGATAAAGCTTTGTCCACTTCAACTCAGCCAATGCTTGATGACATTAAGGAGGCCGTTAAGGATGTTAAAACCGGTTACATGAGAGTTTTACGTCTGTGCAAGTGTGTTTCCCAGGTGGTTCGAGCTTCAACTCTGTAAAAACAGAGCTCACACTAACATTTGGTTAAAACACAGTGCATTGGCTGCTTGAATTATGTGAGTATTTTTTGGTTAAATGGAATGTGTTCGGCAAGGAACAACAGCAAATGTACTTGGTTTTGAATGTATTTGGGCTAGGGCTTATCGGGTTTTCGGGCTTTTTTTTTGGGGAAAAAAATGTGAGTGAAAGCCATGAGAATCGAGTGAGATCTTGAATTCACGTGTTCTGTTCATATTTGGTGGAAAAGTTATTTGTCCTTAATCGGTTTATGTGATTGTCGTGTTGTGTTTAATTCTGTTCTTACCTACTGTGTTACTTGTGATTGGAGCATTTCAAGCATAGTTATTAAATAAATTTTCGAATTTGAAGCTCTATAAGAACTTTATTTATTATTACTACTATTAAAACATACTTTTAGGCGTACAGACTCATTGAAAACTGCTTTTGAACTAAGTAGAAGTTTGTTGAAACTTTAGATTTGATATGATTACTTTATTTCACCAAATCTTTGATCCTTCTTTGACCTTTTGATTGAATCAAGTGATGTAATCGAATACATGTCATCATTTTGTTTTTGAAGTGCAAAACTAACTCATCAATTATGGAGATCATATTTAATATTAAGATTTTTTTCTCCGCCATAATGTACTCATACTCACGTGTCGATCATACAAAGTTCATATCTTTCCTTGGAAGCCACATGCTTCTTGACTCTTGTTGTCTTAAACTAAAAATAATTTAGTGTATTTTTTCTTTGTAGGTGGTCTACTTTACTGTGGAAAAGTTAACATGAATAATTTATTGATACATAATCTAGTCTAGACTAAATACAATTGTTACATGTGTCAGGTACGAATATTTATAGATAAGACATTTGATGACTCCATCGAATTTCTATAATTTATCATGTGTGGTCTGGTTTCTACATTGATTTGATTTCTGTAAACATTCATAAAAGCAGATTATTTTTAGCCAAAATCCGATTATTAAAGATTGTCTTCTCATTCTTTCGTTATATGATTTATTTATTGATGTCTATTATTTAGCAACAAAAAAATTTATAAAAATAATTTTATACTACATATAGGCACTAAATATTGTTTATATAATTTTGAAATGTACAAAAAAAATTGCATATTAAAATAACAGTTTTGCTATGGAGCATCGGATGGCTCGACTTATGGAGTCATCCACACTTATTAACCAATAGTGTATTGACACGTGTCCTACAATAAATACAATTTGGACGGGTGTCAATACATTAAGTGGTGGATGGCTCCATAAGAAACCATCCGATAACTTGATAGAATTATTGATTAAAATAATTAATTTTACAAAAAACTATGAGTGTTGGGAAAATATATATAGAATTGATTCGATCTTTGTTCTTCTTAATCCACAACCCAAGTAAATTTCCCTAGATTTGGCATATCCCACCTGTACACATTTGCCTAATAATTTATTGACCAGTACCACATTGCCTAATAATTCATTGACAATGTTTATATAATCTTAAAGGTGGGCAGTAATTTAAATCGTGCAACTATATTAGAATTAGATAAAGAAGGGTAATTATATTAGTGAATCTCCTAAAATAAGATAATAAATATAAGTATTTTTATTATATTATTAAGATAACCAGTATTTTCTCTAGTACTAGTTGTTCAATTTCAAACATATGATCCTATAGCATGATTAAACATCGAAAGTATACATAAAAAAGCATGCCCTTTAAGTCAAGACTCAAATTTATAACAGTGGTTGAATGTAACTTATACTTTATTGCACGAACATTTCAATTTTCAAAAAGTCATCATCCCTTTCTTTTGTAAAAGAGCTTGAATATTAAACAATAATGTACGTATAATCCAATCTCAAAAAAACCCTTTTACTGTACATACACCAAAAAGGTTTTCAATATTACATAAATGATGGACCTATAATATATTAATCCTTTATCCTTTATCCTTTATCCTTAATATAATCCTTTATCTATAATATATTAATATAATCTCAAATAATCCTTTATCCTTAAAAAACCACTCTTTTATTATACATACACTAAAAGGCAAAAAAGCTGTCAATATAAGAGCAATATAAGAGCTATAAACGAACTGAATATTCGCAAACAAAAGTTTGTTTGAGCTTGTTCGTGTTCGACAAAGCTCGTTTGTTTGTTAATCGAGCCGAGTTCGAACATAAAATTAAGCTCGTTTAATAATCGAACGAATACGAGCTCGTTCGCGAACATTCGATAATGTTCGCGAACATTAATTTAATATAATTTTATTTTATTTTTTATATATTTACATAATATTTTTAATAATAAAAATATTTATATTTTATTTTTTTATTTTCGAGTTCGAACGAATATATTTCGAGTTAATCAAACATATTTAAAAAGTTTATATATTAAATTATTCGAACACGAACGAACTCGAACTTTGACGAACAATTAAATGAACGAGCTCGAACGCGATCTTTTGCTCGAAAAATAAACGAACGAACACGAACACTGTTCGAACGTAAACGAACACGAGCTCGAACAACCCAAGCTTGATCTGGTTTGGTTCGGTTCGTTTACAACACTAGTCAATATTAAACACAGGATTTAGAGAAAACAAAAAAATCAAACATTTTGACTTGATAATACTTGTTGTTGGAATATCACTTGTGAGTTGTCTCAAATTGATTATGCAGGATTAATGAGCTTAGCTTAGAAGTCTAGTGGGTTACTCCTCCCATCACCAATTGGTTTTGGGATGGAACCTCACTATGGTGCACCTAGGTTCACCCTCTTATGGTGCGCTTCACCTACGTGAGACCGCACCCTCTTTCCCCATTTTAATTCTAATATGATATCACAGTAGGCCATAGTACCTGCAATGCCTCTCTCTACCGGGCCTGCTCTGGGCTTAGGCTTACTCGCTACCTGGTCCACTCTGTGGGCTTGAACTTACGAAGGACTCACAAGTGAGGGGGCGTATTAGAATATCACTTGTGAGTTGTCCTAGTGGACTACTCCTCCCATCACCCATTAGTTTTGGGATGGAACCTTATATGGTGCACTAAGGCTTACCCTCTTATGGTACGCTTCATCTGTGTTGGACTGCACCCTCTTCTCTCATTCTAATACTTGTTCATTATTTGATTTTTTGTTACCGTATTGCATCGAAGAAATAATTGGTACGGCTATGAAAATTAAACAAATATTTATATCGGATATCTTACTAAAACGTTGCATACCGTACGTCTGTGCAAAAAAAAATTATGTTTGCATAAATTTATTTTTAACTAAAATTGTTTTTCATTTGTTTCTCTTAATTTTAATTCCAAACTTAATATATGAGAAGATTAAAAATAATAATTGATAGTTGAAAATGTATTATAAATTTCAATATAATAAATCATTAATTTGACAAAAAAGATATGACTGAAATTAATAGTTTTACCTTTATTCTAATTTAATAATTAAAGCTTTGTATATTCAATTGTATCAATTTGCACCGTCTCCATCATTCAAAATCTTGAAATCAAAATATAAAATATTCAAACCGAATTAATCATCTCGATTTTGAAAAAGAAACAAAAAAAATCAAATTTTGATAATTTTCAAGAATTTGAGTGTGATTTTAATATTATTTTAAATCCCCAAGCCCAACCCCCTTTTACCTTCATTTAGTATGATCAGTCCATGAAAGTGCATGTTTCTCTAACAAAACTGCAAAAACTACAAAATCAAATCAAAACCATAATAGACTCTGTACTCCCAGACTAGTAGTAACTTTACATAAGATATTTTTATTTCTTGTTTGTGGGGTTGGGGGATAGTGGAAAAAGTGCAGCCTTTCTCTTTCATGGAGGTGAAGAAGGACCCCACATACTTTCTCCCCTCTGCACTTTTAATCACATTTATCAGATTTTTTTATTAATTTTATCTTTTGGAACTTCTGTCTGAACCTAAAAAAATCCAGTCCCACAAAAGTTTCACTTCACCTCATCTGCTGTTGTTGTGTGTGTGTGTCTGTTTGTGTGGGTGGGAGAGAGAGACAGAGAGCCCCTTCTGAAAAAAGGTCGGATCTTTTTAGGGTTTTAATGAGATATAAAGCAAAGCTGTACGAAGCTCATGTTCTTCTGTTTCCTTCCTGTTGATTCTCCAGTTAAAAGGTCGGATCTTTTTATGGCTTTGCGGCTAATTTATGTAAATACAACCGTTCTTGGTCGTTCTGTTTTATTTTCTTATTTTTTTTTCGTTTGTGCCGTTCTTTGTTGACTAATTTGGGGGGTGTTTAGATTCTCGAGATCAGACGTGATTTCCTCAATCCTTTTTGGCTTCCGTTGCTTTTTCCCCAATATTTCTGTGTATATTAGCTGGAGGTGTTGATGGGAATTGGCTGTTGATTTTTCCTGTCTTCAGCTGGATTTGTTTGAATTTTTTTATTGGTCAAGAGATGTTGTAGTTTTATCCATGTGTGTGGGCTCCTTTTGCATTTTAGCCTGTCAATAACTAACTAAATTTCCAACCTTTTCACAGCCCTGTTGAAGTGAAACAAGTTATTGTTCTTTCACTGGTTCTTTACTTTTTGTTTGGATGATTGATTTCCTTCGTGCGTGTGTTTGTTATGTAACTATATTTTAATATATCACATTAAAGAATTTGTTCTTTCAATAAAAATCTTTGGTAATAAAGTCATCTCACTTTCTGCATCTTTCTTGAATTTATCCTTCATCAGTCAGTAATATACTTCTACTTTGTTACCCAATTCTAGTTGAAGATTGTATTTTCTCCGATCCAATTATCGATTTTCAGCTTAGCGTGATTACCTATAAAACTGTTGCTGTATACGTCTTGTTGATGTTGAGTGCAAGGCATAATTCAACTTATGCATTTCATCTAATCAAAACTTCTTCTTGTGCCTTCCAATGCAGGCGCGGGTTCATCTCCGGCAAACTAAAAGATAGAGAAGAAGAAAAAAACGAAAAAGGAAAAAGAAAAATCCTTTTTTCACCAGTTCAGCTGAACTGTGAGTACAAAATTGTAAATTTGCAAAAAATATGGGATACCTTTGTGATTTTTGTGGGGAACAAAGATCCATGGTATACTGCCGTTCGGATTCCGCTAGCTTATGTTTGTCGTGTGATCGTAACGTACATTCTGCAAATGCTCTCTCTAAACGCCACTTGAGGACACTCATTTGCGAGAGATGCAATTCTCAGCCCGCTTTCGTTAGATGCGCACAGGAAAAAGTATCCCTTTGTCAAAACTGTGATTGGTCGGGCCACGCTGGCCCGAGCACAGGCCCGTCTCACAAGAGGCAAGCCATTCATTGCTACACGGGCTGCCCATCCGCTTCTGAACTTTCTGAAATGTGGTCTTTTCTGTTGGACTCGGGCTGTGAGCAGGGAATGGGCTCAATGAGCATTGCGGATGAAGGGCCTAAGGAGAATACGAATGATGAGTTTCATTTGGGGGAAGTAGGTGAATCAACGGCTGGGATCGAGTTGTTGCCAGGTGGATCGACTGCCTCAGCTATTCAAAAGGTTAGCTACCTTTTTTTATACTTTTTCTTGGCAGTTGAGTGGATTTTGAACCTTACTGCAAAGAACAAATATTTGGAGGTCAAATGGCAGCTTCTGCTTCGATTCTGCTTTATCTAATCAAAATTTGGATTAAAAACAGAAAAAAAAAAAGTCTTCTCAATGGAATGTTCTCTCTTAATTTAGTTAGTTTTCGGTTTTTTATTCCAAACCATTTCAGCTTTTGCTCCTGTAAAATGAACTTCTTCTTAAAGCAGAAGAGTTGACAAACACTTGTTACCCTCTCATATTAATCCAAGCATGATGATGTGCAGTCCTTATGGATTGTTAATTTTGTTTTTCCTTTTTTGGGTTTCCTTCTTGCAGGTTTCCATGTCTGGAGCTAAGGAAAGTGTTGCGTGTGATGATAGCTTTTATGATGATTTGATTATAGACGAGGTTGACCTGAGTTTTGAAAACTACGAAGAGCTTTTTGGTGTTTCTCTCGATAACGCGGAGCAGCTATTTGGAGATGTTGGTATTGAAGGGATTTTCGGGACGAAAGACATGTCTGAGTCACAGGGTGCTTATGCAGCTGAGGTATGAAAAAATCGTAAAAATAAAAACCTATTGCTTCTATATACAATCCTAATTGCCATTTGATAGTGCATAATACATAGTTTCTTAACATAGTGTGAATCTTTAAGTCTAGTAATCCTTTGTATAGCTATGTATGCATTATCATTTATCTTGTCAAAATTGAAATAATTCCCAGGGATCGACACTTGGAGGGTTCAAAATGATTCAACCAGCTTGCAGCAACGCAGCATCTGCTGACTCGGTTATGAGCTGCAAAACGGAACCCAATATATGTTTTGCAAGGCAAGCTTATTCGGGCCTCTCGTTTTCGGGCATTACAGGAGAAAGCAGTGCTGGGGATCATCAGGATTGTGGAGTCTCACCACTTATTATGTGCCATCCTTCAACGGCTCCCGAAAGTTCAAATCCTACTACTACTAGAACTGATGCCGTCTTGCGTTACAAGGAGAAGAAAAAGGCCCGAAAGTAAGATTTTCTCTTCATAACCGAAAAAAAAAAAAAAACATTTCAAAAACCCCTCATGACATTCATAGTAATACCATAATAAATGCATCATGAGGACCGTTTCAAGTGATTTACAAATCGTTTTTTTTCTTTTTATGATAATCACAAATTGGGCAATAGTTTTCTGAATAGCAGGTAATTGAAGAATCAAGTATAGAATCGAGTATTTCAACCGATTGAAGGACATTAATTATCTTTTCTTGTAACATTTTTGTTTCTAATTTTGAATGAATATATATGAAAAAAGGTTCGAGAAGAAAGTGAGGTATGCATCACGCAAGGCAAGAGCAGACGTGAGGAGACGTGTGAAGGGACGTTTTGTCAAGGCTGGTGATGCTTACGATTATGATCCCTTGATCCCAACCCGAAGCTGCTGAGTAAAATTCTCTCTTCCCCCTTCATTTTAATGGATCACAAAAAACAAATTATCTGGTCGAAACCTTTAAGCGAAAATGCTTACTTTTCTCAACTCTTTGCAGGAAGCTCCAAACACATTCATGATGGAAAAAAAAAAGGGTTAATTGCTGTTGATGAGAAAGAAGTTGAGTCTATTTATAATAATATATGTACATACTGTTGTAACTTCTTCCCTGATCGACCATATAGAACGAACAAGTTGGAATGAGATAGATTTTTCGGGAAATTGAAGGGAATAAATCGTGTTCAAAACAGAATAATGGATTAAAAGACCATAAACTATTCAGCAGCCGAGAGCTTATTTCCCAAGAGGACGTTGTATTTATAGTTTATTCTTTTTCTTGTTCAACGGGTCAAGACCTCCATTGTAGTTTTTGAGTGTGTATGTAAACAAATTGAGACCTGTTAATTTTGTAACTTAAATCCTTATAGTAGTGTGCCCCTCAATTTGGACAAAAATGGCTCAAATTTGTACATCATTCAGCTGCTTGCTAATAAACATATTTACATCCGTATTGTGCCTACATGCTTTTTTGAAGTGTTCGATTATGGGATCTATCAGTTTGTCTAAATATTTGATACACTCTACCAAATTCTAACAGAAGAACACTTGATTATTGAGCTATATTGTATAGTAATTGACCAAAATCCATACAGCAATTAGCCTGAAAGTACTCAATCAAATATCAAATAAGGTACGATTAAAATCTGTATCTTTACTTGTCAAGAAATGTTTTCAACTCTTGTAATAAATCCTTGTCTGAAAATAACATAATCTGTGCACATGACCACTAAATAAACAAAAAGCCTTTGATTGTACAAAAATATAGCATAGAACAGGATGATGACATCATCAAACTAGGGATCGTGTTACCCTGAATCTTCATCGGCAAATCATGATCCTAACTCTAATCTGGCCACGTACGTCTTCTCAAAAAGTTCTTTCGGACATTTACTCCATTTGAGTGAACAGTGTTCCTTCTGAATCTTTTAGCAGCTAATTAAATTACCTTAGTTATCATCTGATGAAGAATCCGACTCTGATTGTCTCCCAAAGTCATCAGCAGTATTCGGTTCCTATAAAGTAAGAACATATTTTAATACCGCCTGAAGATGTATAATCATCTACAAATAAAAATGCATCTAATTTAGGTAAAAATAGTATGTGAGGTGCGCCTTTCTGCAAAAAAGAATGAGATATTGCATACAAGCATTAACAAGGAAAACTATACTTTTGTGCTCTAAATAAAGTCTCAAAGACAGAAGCACAAACAGTATACTGAGACTATTTGATTGAAAACACTACCTGCATCTTATCCCAATCTTTCAATTTGGGGTTTGTTAGCATGTAATTGTCACGCAGAGGGGCCCACGCAGGAGCTTCACCACCAGAAGTTCCGACCTGCATATTTTTTAGGAAAAAACATATTTTTTTGGGGTTTAATTACTTTAATACACAATATTGTAATACAATAAATCCTAGTGTGTATTTTTGACAGAGAAAAAAGTGAAAGAAGACCTTAATAGCAGTCCCAGACGATTGAGATGGTGCCTTGCCCAACTCGGAGAAGAAAGCTTCCTTACGCTTCTGCTTTATTACTGTTTGATCACATATGAGTATATGCATTACAACAGGGGATTAAACACAAATAGAAACTAGATTGACTTAACGTCAGAAGGAGGCCTTTCCATAAGTGCAATTGCAATTACAGAAATAGACCCTAAAGCACCAAACATGTATAACATTAACAGCTGCCAGTGGAGCAACAAGCAAGTCTTGGTTTTTGGCAAGACAATTATGAGCCCCAGAAGTAGCATGCCAAGGTTAAATTTTGTTACCATGACTTCACTGAGGTATGGAGTATCTCAGCAAATAAATATCATTCTCACCAGTCACCATAAGATAATATCATTATATAAAAACTTAACCAATTGCAAGGGATGAATGTACTGTATAAGGCACATATAATTTCACCACTAAGAAGGTATACATGTCCTAATCCACCTGTTATTCGGCTCATTAAAATACTGCATTTTATAGGATGACCATGTATTCTAGTGCTTCTTCTATTAGTGAAGTTTCTAGAATTTTTTTTTTTTTTATCAAACGGCGCAATGCACCTTGGGTCGCTACGGAAACAACCTCCTTGTATAATTACAAGGGTAAGGTCAGCATACAACTGACCCCCCAGACCCCAACCTGTTGGGAATATACTGGGTATGTTGTTGTTGTATAGGATGACCATGTATTGACCATCTAAATCTGGAGATGCAGTTGACAAAAGTTTTTCAGTAGTCAGTAGACATCCCAGAGTCTTGGACTCTCTTACCATTATATTTAAACATCCTATTTTCCTATTTACGGCCATAAGTCACTGGATCCATTATTAAATATTTCTAACCTTGACAAACAACTCCAACACCCTCTTCTATAGGACTTCTATGCTTGCATCAAACCAATAAAAGACAAAAGCTTTTATTTCGAGCCAAGTATGGAAGAGGAGGCAAGAAAAAAGAAATGTGAACTTACTGAGCCCAAACATTAATGAGCAAATGATATCTTATTAAGATGCAAAAGACAAACCTACTTCTTTACAGAGCTTAATGAAAACTTCGAGCAAACTAAGTACAACTCATAGGTTCCGAAGATCTGATGCAAAGGAACCTATCACAAAGCACAATGCAGAAGTCTGACACAGGAGCCTAAGTTCTATAGGCATACCCTTCTCATCTTTTGATCTCGACATATTTAAACCTCTCTGAGCACTCTGTGCCTTGTTTACCTGCATGAAGTACAGTATTCTCAGACTCAGAGTATGGTTCCTCAGATACAAACAGATGAGATCAAATAACGCAAATGCAAAGTAAGAAGTAACTTACAGCATTGAAAAGCTTGACCACTGATCCTCGAGCATTACAAAACATATGTGCATAATGGAACCACAATCAGACATCCGCTCACTGTATCACAAATAATCACAGAATACAACAATAATCAAGAAAACAATGTATACCTCCTTTCGTCGCCACTCCTAATAGATGCTTTTCGTGGGCATCCAAGTAGTTTTCAAGCTTGACATGTCCCTTTTCTGCTATCTTTTCACAGCAAAAAAATAGCAAGCAAAACAAAGGTACAAAATGAACATTGGATACACTCTATCGTAAAACCAATAAGAAATTCACAAAATGACCCAACAGACAACCACATAAACACACACACAAACACACAGAGACTGAGAGTACCAAATGCTTCTCTTTCTTCACTACCCCCTTAGCTTTCTTCTCAGCTTCTTCTTCAGCAAGCTTCTCAGCTATTAACTTCTTATGAGCAGATAACACAGGACCCTGTCAAACACAGAAAATCCCATAATCACCACTCTCTCTCTCTCTCTCTCACTCTAAACTCACAGACAAAAAAGATGAATTCATTCCAACCTCAGCTTACCAGTACATCTACATCGCCCCCACTCTTCTTAACAATCTTCTTAAATGCCAACTTAAAAGCCTTAATGCCCTCCGCGAATTTCGTAACACCGGGCTGAATCCCACCATTTTCATCTTCTGAAACTTCTTCTGGCTCAGACCCTTGATTCTCCTCTTCATCATCATCCGATAGCTCATCCCCAAAATCATCATCCCTTTTCATAAACCCGGTTTTAACTCCAACTGAACGTCCCGGCTCCGGGAGCTGCTCAACATCTTCATCTTCGTCTTCTTCAACTTCGTCTGAATTGTAATCCCTAGCCCTTTTCTGAAACAATTTTCTCATTTTCTTATCAACTTTAACCTTTTTCTCTGCTCCGGGAGGCATCACCACTCTTTGCCTCTTTTTCGCCATTTTCCCCTTCTTTTTCCCAGATTTCCTTTTCTTTCCTCCATTGGTAACATCAAAAGACTGCTGTATTTCCGCCATTACCTTCTTCGTCAGTGCTCCGACCAAAAATTGCGTTAAATTTCACCCAAATATGAGGAGAAAGAAAGCTGTACAGCAGTAGGGTTTTAGGATTTTGCCTGTGGATGTGGTCTTAGAGCCAAAATATAGTGGTCTTCGGCCTTTATCCTTTATTTGTAAGGTTGGACTTTAGGCCTGCTATAGCATCCCTCTTATAAGTTAATTTGTGTGAAGATGTAAGTCCAATCAAGTTTATTAGATTAATTTAGCCCACGAGCTCAATGGGTCGGGCCTAACAGATTACCTATATTCAATACAAAATTTGTTGACCACACAAAATACATGCGAGTGTATGTGACAAAAATTCCATCATGTTTTTAGCCAACCCACAGGGAACTCACACTTGCTGGCAGTGAAGTTGATGTTTAAACAAAGTAGATTGTGATGCACTTAGCTAAAGTTAGGATTTTTATTGATAAAATTATTTTGCTTATTGTTGATTCTTGACAACCTTGTGGATTCACAAGAAACTTGCACAAAACAGCTAACTTTTTATGGTTATATTTTCTATTTGTAAATCATACATCATGGAGTTAAAAATATTAGGGAAAGAGGCACAACATAATTATTTCTTTTATCATATTTTTCAGCATATCTAATATGTAATATGGGTGATGATAAGGAAATTAGGATGAATCCAACTTCACCCCCAATATTAAGGAAGATGCTAAAGAACAAATTAACATATATATGGTCTAAATTTCATCCCACTGCCAATAGGCAATAGTTGGTTCCTACTTGTTTAATCAACACAAAGAAGAATGTAAGAAAAGATTCAGCTAGAATTAGCCACATAAAATAGCTACTATAAATAATAAAAAAAATAAAAAAGTGGGAACAGGTAGGTGGGTGTACATGGAAAAATTTCCCTAAATTTTGGCAGTGTAAAAACAAACATTGACGGCTCTTATTGTTCCCATTTCTTGCACGTTCTACACTACCAGAAAGAGAGATTGGAGAAATTTTTTTGCTACAAGACAGGACAAAGGTCACATGGGTAAGCCATTAAAGTGAAGAATTTTGGTGGGGCGCACAGTCCATCTAGCAGCAATATTAAAAAAAGGAGTGATCTTTAAAGAAATACAAAAGAAGTTCGCATTTATCTGTCAAGTGTCGCCAACGCAGCTCAAAATTCTTCACCTAAATACTTTCTAGCACAATCTGAAGGCTTCCAATCTTTTCTGGAAAAAGTAACTTTCTTGTTTGACAATCTCTCTGCTGTGAGTTGATCTGAAATTCATGGGTCTTTTATTTCCTTTAAATCCAGCACTTTTGCTTAATTGTTTTTTTCCCCAAAAAAGAAGCACTTTTTCTTGGTAGGTTTTCTGGGGTGTAGGTTAGACTCTTTACTTTGCATTTCTTGATGGGTTTTTCTTTCTTTTTTCCCCTCTTTTTGTGTAATTTTGCCTTCCGGGAGGTTTCTGTTGTCCTTGTTGATTAGATGGTGATGTTTGCTTTTATTGTTCTTTGCTGCTGTTGAGGTGCCAGTTTTCATTTTCCTTTCCTGAAAGCCCTGATCTTGTATTTATACCTATCATTTGATATTAAAAGTTAACTGCTATCTGCATCTATATGGGTTCAGAGAAGTTTTATGATTCTTTTTCTCTATGACATTTCCAGAAATAGCTGAGTACAGATGTTCTTTAAATTCATAAATTGCCAAGAGGATGTTTTTGTTCTAAGATACAACACAGAAATAAGCATTTTGTAACATGAGAAGTAGAAATCAAGTTAAACCTCATGGCTAGTCTTTGCAATTATCTTCAACAAAAATGGGAAAGAAGGAAAGGAAAAAAAGAAAAAGAAAAAGATGATTCTTGGACTTTTGTTTCACAATATATGGTATCATGCAATGATTATATAGGATTGGGCTGCAGGCAAGATACCTGACTGCTTATTCATTTGTGGGCATCTGTTTATTTAGCCCAAACTTTGAATTCGAGCGCGATCTTCTTGATTTCTAGTTTATGAACTGAATGATCTGCTTGGTCTAATAAATCTGATATATAGGATGTTGTCTGTCAGAAGCTTAATTTGGTAGTGTTTGTGTTTGTTGCCTTGCAATTAGTTTATAAACTGAATGAATTGTTTCCTCTTTCTTTTTACTGACTCAAAATTTTTTCATTTGCTTCATTAGGTCCCAAAACCCTAAAACAATGGCTATCTCATCCTACCCAACCCCAGCCGAGGCCGGCATACTCTGCCTAATCATAGCAAACATGGCAATGTCGATTTCAGCCGTGAAAGAACTCGTTTGCTCGATTCTTACCACAATTGGCATCCACATGTCTTCGTGTGATGAGCTCTCGGTCGAGTCCCTCGACCCATCCGAGTGCCGCATGAGCCCCTCCGAGTCCTACATGGACGATTTTCGGCGCCAGATTCTGACTGTGAGATATGACTCGGTTTTCCCATGTGGGCCCGAGGGGCAAGAATGCTCGATCTGCCTGTCGGAGTTTGACCGGTCGGCTGAGGTCAACCGCTTATCGTGCGGCCACGTTTTCCACAGGCCGTGCCTCGAGAAATGGCTGAGGTGCTGGCGCATGACGTGCCCTCTCTGCCGGAACTCCATGATGCCGGTCGAAGAAGAAGCAGATGCTTGCCCTATGTGAGCTTTTTGCTGAAACTGCCCCTAATCTAATATTTAATTGCACAAAAGGTCCCCCCGATTCATCTTTTGGGTTTTTGTTTCTTCGAATTTCCCCTAGAGTCGAGACCTTGATGGGCACGGTTTTTTCCTTTTGGCCAAAGTTTTTGGGGTGATAGTTTGCAATTTGAATTATACTTAATGTCATCTCCTTCTGAAGGAATCTTTGGGTTGAGAGGAGTTCTATTTTGTACAGTATGCATTTGTAAAAAAGTTGCAAACAAAATTCAGAATGTGTAGCGTTTATTGCGCTTATGTTTTTTTAGGTGCTGGTGTTATGCGTCCTCCTGTAGTGACGGGTTCGGCTCAACTGATTTGTATGTTTTGCTTGGAATTTACGTATATTGTGAAAGCCTGATGGAACCTTATTTTGATGCGATTATCACTATTGTTCTAATAGCGTTTATAATGCCGTAGCTTGCTCTAGCCTTTACTGTGATGCAATCTATAATTTAATCTTATGAGGAACTGTGTTTTGATATTCTGCAAAAGGAAGTGATCAATTCTCAGCAGTTCCATCTGGTAGAAGCTGAGAAGCTCTTTATCTCTGTTGAAAATCAGCCTTCTTTAAACTGTGTGTTGGGTTCAAAGAGTGGGTGTATCTTATAAAATTGGTCTTGTTTAAGTGATTATTTGCTTAAATTATATTCAAATCAATGAGGTTTTTATGTAACTTTTTGTGAATGTTTGCATAAAGTAAAGACTGAATTGGATTGGTTATCCGTGTGAAATAACTCTCCAATCTAAGGCAGTGAGATAGATTTGGGTTCATGAGAGGACAAGTTCCAGTAAATTTGTATGCCGAACAACAATTTGCCAGCATATATGGCTACCTAATCTCAACATATTGAATGTATATCAAACAAAATGATATAAATCCCAAACACACCACGCAGATTTAGAAAAGGTGGAAATTTTGAGGAAAAGCATGTTGTAAAGAGAACTTTAGCTATTTACTGTTCAAGATAACATTAGCTATTTACTGTTTATGACTATTAGAAACAAGGGCACACATTAATTACATGGGAAAAATCAGCAGAAGCTCTGTGTATCAAAAGTTGTCCAAATTGTTGCAATATTTATCTTCATTCCTATGAGGAAATGTTGAAAAGTTGTGGCATTTGCTTGTAACCAATGGAATTCAGCTTCATTTCTTTCTATGTACCCAATCTGAGTTTGCTGTAAAATCCTAAATATTAGGCACACGTTTTTGCTATTATTAAGGTAATTATGACCTTGCCAAGGGCCACCAACAGCACAAATTTAAGCAAACTTCAATGTACAATAGTCTAATTACCACAACATATGAACATACATTTCAATCTTCTTATTTGATATGTCTTCCCCCTGAAAACTCAAATGAGAAGCTGTTAAACGTAACTTCTCTCTGATATCATCGCTATACTTGACGAAACAAAGAAAAATAATCGTACGCATTTCCCCCTTCATATTATCGAAATTGTCCTCCCATCTTCTCCAAAATACTCACTGACCCCTCACCCCCTTCATAACACATTGTCCACCCATCTTTTCCAAAATACTCACTGACCCCTCAAACCCGAGTTTTCGAATTCCAGCCAGTAGTAACCTGCGTGTCTTTAATCTTCATCATATATAGCAATATTTACGAACGGTTGATTTCCAATCATCATATACAGCAATATTTACGAACTGTTGATTTCCAATACACTGAAATCAGTAATCACTTGGAGTTGCAGCAAACAGAAAGGGCATATGTACAGTATATATTAAGACATTATTTGTCAATGCAGCAGACATCACAGGAAGACTGCCTCATGAGGCAATTAATGAACAAAAAACTCACTGTTAATAATAATGATTGGAATCAGATAAACCAAATATATAAAAGTGAGACTACCACCAAATACTAATAGCAACAAAAGAAACAAATAGACCCTGATTCTTAAATGTACCAAAGTTTCATCAAAAGGAAAGGTTTCTTAACTTGTAACCTACCATAATGAAATAAATAAGAAAGAAAGAAAGACAAAAGAAAACTTCTCAAACCAACAAACAAAACATGGCAACTCACTGCAATATCACAATCGAGCACTTTAACTCTAACTAGAGGGAGCACATGTGTTAACCCCGTCCTTACAGTCCCTGGTGAGATCATTAAACGTCTCGATTTGCTTCTTGCCCCTCAAGAATACCTCGGTATCAACTTGAACCCTCATGTACCCATCGAACTCGACTGGGTTCCCGTTATTGAGCTTAGCCATTTCGGAATGCCAGTCGCTGTTTGAGTCCCAGAGATCCTTATAATCATCGAGAAAATGGGTAGTGTACTTATCCTTCAACGGATCGAAAAAGGAAGTGTCGGGCTCGTTGGTCGCTATGTATAAGTTCCTCCCATCCTCGATTTTGTACTTCAAGGTCGATAAAAGAGCCTCGGGTGAAGTGTCCCTATCAAGATTAGGCCATAATTCTTTGTTGCTCGCCTTTTCACCTCGTTCGACATGAACTGAGTCGAAATCCCAATTCAATTTGGCGGCAATAGCAGAGGCAATATCCAACAACCGTCTCGATTTCCAGATCATACTCCACGGCCGTTGGATCACGCTCTCTGTCTCCCCCTCACAGACCCTGTACCAATAGTTATCTGGCTCCACAGTCCCGAATTTCCTCATGATAACAGTATCCTTAACATCTGCAAGCTTCATGGGTGTAATTCTGAAGTCCTCCACGAGATGTAGGCTCAGCTTATCCTTCTTCTGCCACTTGGCCCAATCGGACCAGAACTGATTCTGCTCCAAAACGGAGGCCGAGTCCATCAAATGCTCAAAATCAAAGTAAAATCTAAAATCCTTACCCTCTTCGTCTTGACCGGACGAGGTGTGGATTTTAGACAGGCAAATACTCAGATCCATGACCAAAGTCCGGTTCAAATACTGTGCCTCCCCAAGCATACACATGAAACTCCATAGATACTGGTTCATGCTCTTGCACCTGTCCCCACCACCTGAATATATCAAATACTTGCCTTGACTAAAAGAACTTTCTGATTCGATTGTGGGAATCGCGTCATTTACAGTCTCGCCAACCTCCGGGAGGGAAATCGCCTTATCCTCGATCACTGCCGGCACCTTTTCGTACCCCTCGAACACCTGTATGTTCTTCTCTCTTTTCCTTCCCTTCCTTCCTTTTTTCTTCCTTGCATTCGCACCTGAATGATAGTCTCCGATCCTGGCCACAGTAACAGTACAGTTCTCGGATCTCTCGAGCGTGAAACTCCGGTAGTCTTTATAAAAGGCTGCGGCTTTACCTTCCTTGGGCCTGAACCGCCAGGCCATGTGGCACGAGTTGGGTTCATTCCCCGGGACAGGCTTTCCGAAACGGTAGAAATGGATGTCCTTGAACTGCTCGATGGTCCACCTCATCAACAGATGGAAAACTTCGGGATCTCGGCAGTTGATCGGGTCGTCATTCTTGCAGACGCGGGCCTCGGCTTCCGGATCGGGCTCCTTCTGCTCGTCCTCCACCACTGACATCGCGTTGTCAACGTCGGTGATGTTGATGAAGGAGTTGAAGGCGGTCTGGTTGGCTGCGACGAAGTCCTCACCGGTACGGACGACGCCGGAGTCGGATTTGAAAGTGGCGTTGGATTGCGAGGTGAGGAAGCTCGTGATTTTCGAGGAGGGGTGGAAAAGGGGGTCCTCCGGCTGGTAGGTGGCGGCTATGATGGTGAAGACCAAGACGCCGACGACGAACAGGGTGAAGCAGAGGTTGCCGATCACGGACAGAGCGTTCGGGCCGAGATTCTCGGCCCGGAAACTCCCGTTTCGGTACAGAGTCAACGACGGCCGGCCCAACATCTTTCCTTTCTATACACTGATATAAAGGATATGGAAATCAAACAAACGGGAATTGAAAGCTCGAGGAGATTCGAATCGAGCAAAAACTGGATTTTTTCCCCAAAACTGGGAGTGTAACAGATCTGGTAGAGTGCGCGCGCGACTGTAGATGCAAAAAGATGTGTATGTAAACGCGAGTGGATTACCTCAATGCGAGCATAGAAGAGAGGCGATCAGCTCACAGGCATTCATCGATTTGCTTCTCTTTGCTTAGTTTGAGAGAGCGAGAGAACAAAGAAGCTAACTTTGAGGAGTGAAATTAATGAGTGATGACGAAAAACAGCAAGACTTTGTTGCTAAAATGAGCCGCGGGTGACGGCTTGGTTTTGTGCAGCGAGCGCCTTGTTTGGCAATCACTTAAATTGCTTGTCTAGAAGCTGGCTTTACTCGTTCAGGTTTTAATTAGTATAATTAAGGTTCATTTAGCTAACGTCTCAAGCTTAAATTTGATAAATAAAATTTTTTAGGATTTCCTAAATTTTTAAAATAATTGCCTATGCTCTAGTTCAACTTTTTAACCAGTCGAGTTCAAATTTTTTTAGGATACGTTTGGATTAAAGGATTTAATAAGGGATTTGAAATATATTTTTTTTACTTCCACACACTCCTTGAATGGATGTGTCAAAAATATTATAAATCAATTATCTAGCTCGCATTGACTCGCGGTGGTGATGAACCTAAATGATTGTAGACGACGTGTTTGTCAACGGTGATAAAACAGTGAATTTCAAATGACTAAATTTGAATAGTCATTTGAAATTCTTCAAAATAATGACTAAAAATATCTAACACAAATTTAAGATCCTCCAACTTCCGTTATCATCCCAACATGCATAGGGATTTGAACTTGTAAATTTAAAATTTATAAATTTCAAATGAAGGGATTTCAAATCCCTCAAAACAATCGTAGCCTTAATGACTTTTTAACTTAAAGATCTAAAGATTCAAACTCCATTGATCCTGTATAAAAAAACTCTAGTTTTGGTCTTGTTTACATCTCCAAAAACACCAATTTGTTTATTAATTTTTCAAATTATAATCCACACCTTGATAACATGTAAAATGTAAAACCGTAAAAGTGAAAATATCCTTCCCCAAGACATTTTTTTTTTTGGGATTAAAACAGCTCGAAGCAATTATGACGTAATTGGATATAAAAATTTTCAATTCATACTCAAAATTTAATTCAATTTGTCTATGCGTAAAATTATCAATATAATTAAATAATAACAATTAACCATTCTTATACATCACGTTAACTTTAACTCACTGTTCATCAACTCACATAATTTTAACTAAACATCATCTTTATTTTATTTTATATCAAATCAACTTTTATTATTTTAATTTAAATATTATTTTAATACAAACTCAAACCTTCATACATTTTTTTTTCAAATTAACTTAGTTAATCAAAATAATTCATATTAAATGGAAATTTTTATAATCAAATTAACCTAGTTAATCAAAATAATTCATGTTGAATGAAAATTTCTATATCCATGTACGCCCTTAGATTTTGCAATTGGTTTTTGTAAGGCTACCAAACATGTGCTTATGAAAATGTGGATAGTTTGGTTGATTTTAATGCTTATAATGCGCACTCGGTGCAAGTGAATATGCATTGTTTTGGTTTGAGATCTCTAGAATGCACCACCGACACATGACGATGGCAGCTTGCAGGGGCATAACTGTCATTTCCCCAAATCTGCAGCTATTATTTTGGCAATAAAGAAAAGAGTGCCAACTTGAATGATAACTTAAGTTACAACTCAAGTGTAAATGCATTATTTTTTAACTTTTTGATAATACATTTACACTTGAGTTGTAATCCAAGTAAGCTAAATAGCATTACTCTAAAGAAAGAGTATGTTTAGTTGCCATTCTATAATATAAACAATTGGTAATATAAACAATTGTTTTAATAAAATTAACCCAAGTCCACCTGCAACCTATCTAAAACCGACCATATGCACACGCCTGATTTTTCACCGTAGGATCACATCATATACACACATGAACCCATGCATCCAACGGTGAAAAGCCATTTCACCAAATGTAGGCAGTTTGCACAAATCCACCCAATAACACATCAAGCCAATCTGCCAAATCCACACACAAGTGAAAAGTACATCTTAGCTTATATGAATTACTTAATTTACTCACAGCATTAAATTCAAATTGATGCTAAGAGTTAAGATGCAAATTATACATATACAATGTTGCATATAAATGACATATTCTTTTCTTCTGCATTGGCCCATCCAAATGTCTACTGAGTGTCATTCAACTGCAGCACCACTGGAAACTACTGCCTTAGATGAGAAGAAAGAAATAAGAACATGACATAGGAAGATAGAAGATAACATTTATTCATATTGTACAAAAACGTTAGGCAGCATTAACTCATTGCTTTTCTTTCCCACAATCAAATAAGTGGAAGTTAATAAAGAAACTGGAACATACAAAAATAAGTTGATTTTATGTTCGACTAGTGAAGTTACAATACGTCAACACACTAGTCAATCATTCAGGAGCAGATAAACATACTGAAAGATAAAAACTTTGCTTACTTATACATTTTATAATAAGCTTAGTTGTACATTAACTCCTAGAAAAACAGGTAATATTTGAGAAAACCAGAAAAGAATTGCAACATTATCCGGGGAGGACCAAAACGTGAGTATCAATGTGCATGGATATGAGGAACAAAGTTATCCAGAATCGTTTTACTTTCCGATTTCAGTCGTTAGGAAACGATTGCTACAGAAAATACTACATTTACAAATATCTTTCTCCAATATTTTTTACCCATTTTCTTTCCCACAGCGTGATCTATGCAATTTAATATCTTAACAGGGTATAAGTAATTATAGAAGATAACTGATTTCTTCTTGTTTTCTCTTTCATTTAATTTTATAATTACGGCAAACTCAGGTGCAGGGGTAGTTTTCACCTGAGGTGTCTCCAAGAAGTGCAATTTGGGGTTAGATCAGCGCCAATATTGAGCCCAACGGTGGATAGTTTCCACCATTTGTGGGAATAATGCACTAACACTTTCGTTGATAAGATCCTGGAAAAAATGTATTGACTCCTCATCGTCCAAGTCCAACCGAAACTTTTCTTGTAGCTACAACAATTAAAACCAGGTCATACAATGGCCAAAAAAAAGAAAAAAAAGAAAAGAGAAGGGAGAACGGTAGAACAAATCCCAACAGAAGTACAGAATTAATGGAGATTTTCACCTTAAGAATGCCTTTCTCAGGATCAGAAGCAATATCGGGAATGTTTGAACCCGCCATCAAGTGAAAGAGATTTAATATTAGGTTACTCGACTTCCTAAGAATATTGTATGCTTCACAGCAGTAGGATTTGAACCTCGTGTAGTACTGACTGCAAGTGGAGAGTGAAAAGTGAAAACGTAAGAGAGAACATTTTTTGTATTCACTCGTGAAGAAATACTTTGTCCGGATACACAATGAATAAGTTATAAGCGACAACATAACAGACAGCAGCTCCAGTTCTCCTAGTTTTGGTTTCTATCTTTTCTTTTCCCCTTTTATTCTACTGCCAAAATATGCGAGCAGTTAAGCTCATTAATGTTGGCATTATTACAAAATGAACCCTTAAAATTTACTTATTACCAAAAAAGTGTTTTTAGATGATTATCATTCCCTATTGAGGGTGGAATTTATAAAATAAAACAAATTCAATATGTCATTTGTAAATTAGGGAAGTGGATGGGATTTTCTTCTATTTACATAAAGCCAACTGCATCTTTACAAAATCGACAATGATGCTAAAAACATGATGAGCAAATAGCTAAGCAGTCGCCAAACACACCTTTCAGCTCCACCCATAGCTTCGACCATTTCTTTACAAAGTTTCATAGGAGGTGGGAATGGCTTTGGATCCCGGCCGAGTATAAACCCGAAATCAACATGAAAAAGGCGGCCATCATCTTGTAGTAGCAAATTATCAAGATGCCTGAGGACCAGAAAGATTCACAATGCAAGAGCTTCATTTGCAAATGTAATAAAAATAAAGAATAAAAGCCCCAAAAATGATAACACCTCATCAAGCCAGTCTAATTTGGCATAGTTAGATGGGCACCTGTCACCAATGCCCAATATATATGTGATAACTGAATAACCAGCACAGCTTTTTATGAATGTTTCCAGACAGGTCGCTGTAATTCCAAAATGCCCATCTTCATCTGGGTGAAATTTTTGCAGATAGCTTGTAATACTTCGATGTTCTGATAGAATCTGAAATTGCATAAGCAATATGATAAAGGCAGACAACGAATGAAACAAAAAATCCAAAAAAAAAAACTAACTTCATTTTATCTTTCATGTGAGGGTATGCATATGCTCTCAATGTCTAACATTGCGAAATAACCATATATATGACTACCTGTGCCAATGATTTGGATGGAATGAATTCCATCATGCCTTCATCATGCCCTGTTGCTAATACTCTGTAAGGAGTCAAATGAAGATCTAGATTCTCCAATTTGAGCAATCTATCCATCAACGATACCATTTGAATAACCTGATTTTAATTTGACAAATTAAAACAGCTAAAGGCAACATTATTTTGTAATAAATGAAACTGTGAAACGGCATGGTGGCACTCACCAACTGGTCTTGTCTAAGGTCATCACCCTTCTTAAATATGATCTTGCAGCTTCCTCCACTTGCTGTTCGTAAAGCTAGACGCAAGGGATTCAAAGCACTTTTGAAGATTGATGATTCTGATGGTATGATCCCGGTTATAAGGACCCTTGGTGCCAGAGGAGATCGTGTTGGCTGAAAAAGTATATATTCTTCAAATCTCACAATACAAGTGGGGTATATTAGGGAGTAGCTGCAAAAACTAGCCTCGACGTTTTACCTAATTAACAAATAATTATATAAAACTGTTTCAAATTTACCGATACCCCTCCAAGGTGTTACACACAGGCTTGGGGTTTGCATTTCCTTATAAATACTTCCAGATTGAAGGGTAAAGTATGCAAATAGAAAGAGGATATATGTAATTTGTAGAAATATATATAGTGACCAGACTAAAACCTGAAGGGAATTTTGCAGTCCACCCTTGTGTTTACTTTGATGTAATCAAATGACAACAAAAGATACAATCTAGTTTATCTAGAACCATACAGGCAAAAAAGATTATCAATTGGTGAGTACCTCATCGAAGTACGTTAGCTCGCTATGAAGCCCAGATAGAAGCTGCCGAAGCTTTTCAATCTTCTTCTGGGTTCCACCCCTTACATTTCTCACCTCTCTCATGATGGAACACAACTGTGCAGTCAACTCGGTTTGACGCACAAGACTTTGCCAAAGCTTAAAACCATCTTCATCACCATTTGCTGAAGACCCAAGCTGAGGTTATGCATCATAGTCAGTCCACATGTTTATCAAAAGAAAAACAAGAGAAATATCTGTAAGGAGAGGAGAAAGGAAGCATGAAGACCTCAGACCTTTAACATACTTTCTTCCAAGCACTCGTAGGTGCTATAAAACCGTCTTGCATAAACAGGATCATGGAGCTCCACCGCCACATACCACCGTAGAAAGCTAGCCAAGTCAATATTACATAATGCTGCCAACAAAAACAGAAACGAAGATTCAGACAATCCTTTTGAGGAACTATGAAGTTCTCACAGCTTGTTAGAAAATATATATACTTCATTTGCATCACTTACAGCGTTGAACAAGGAATTGACTAAGGCGAGACTTGTCAGAACGTTCAAACCGAAGAGCTTGAACTAACTGAAGTAAGTAGCACTGGAGCTCTTCATCATCAGCCCTTTCAAGAACACTCACGGCATATGCACGGACCTGTCCAGGTTGATAGCATTTTGAAGATCCAGATACAATATGAATGATCCACAATTGCTCAAAAAACTGAGTACAAATTTAAGAACTTCTGATAAATTGATGCATCGACCAGATAATCAGAGATACGCTTCTCATTAAAAGTAGAAACTAATGTTCTTTTTTTCTCATTTGTGATCATAATCCAACACAATACACGGAAAAAACAACCAGTCACCATCAATTCACAAACTATATCTCTATGAACGTGCAATCAGATTCCAATACAAAGTTCTTAGTCCACTATTATTACTGCCGGTCATTTCATAATAAGAAGTAAATCAAATACCATATATTTTTAGCATATATTCTAGTTTGCTGAACTATGTCCTAGGTGGCATGAGTATATTTAAGTTACATAAGCGATCAACCATAATCTAAAGAAATCCGGACTCTGTGCAGAAGAAAAAATAAGTGTAAAAAATTAACCTCTTCACTCTCAAAAACTGGAGATAGAAGCTCCAATGCATCACAGACATCGATTGTCTCCCACTTGCCCATGAGTTCTAGTGCCTGCTTGGCTTCCTGTAGACAATAACAAATTAAAGTGCGAAGGAAGATTATATAACAGCAAAGGGAAATTAAGCCGACAAATCTAGATAAAGTGATAAAGAGCAAAATCGAAGATATAACTACTAGGCATTAAGGGTGTGGTTGGATATAAACTTAACTAGTAAAAAACCAATCAAAACTCAAATTTAACTCAACTATAGCCCAACCTCACTACCCTCAAAATTATCAATATAATTAAATAATATCAACCAATCATTCTTACACACCACATCAACTTTAATTCACTATTCATCCACTCACAGAATTTTGACTAACCATCACTTTCAATCATTTTTCTCCTACTTTTACATCAAATCAACTTTAATTACTTCATTTCAAATATTGTTTTAATTTAAACTTAAATTCCCACTAACAACTAACCAACATACCACATTTTTCAAAATTAACTATGGTTAACAAAAAAACCAATCAAATCCATATCCAATCACACCCTAAGCGACTATGTATCAGCTTTTAGGAAATTTTACCTGGACATCACTCCATTCTACACAGCGCAAAAATTTTGTCAATGCCCTTTTTTCAGACATTAATGAAAATCGAAATTTCCAAAGTAGTTGCTTCTCTTCTCCAGTCAAAGTCCTTGTTGGAGGATATCTTAATATTCTTTGAATAGACCTATTAAAGATCAGATACATTAGCTGAGTAGCAAATTGGAAAAAATTGATCAACATTATGAAGAAACAATTCACACATGGTGTGCCATTGGAAGAGGATACATGCAACTTTCTTGAAGAAAAGACATTAGGTATACGGTTTCAGAATTCAGATAACTTAATCAGCAGAACACTGAAATTTACCAAAAAAAAAAAAAAAAAAAAAAAAATGANAAAAAAAAAAAAAAAAAAAAACGCTTCAAGTTAAATCTATAATTAAGCTTACTTCCTTTCTGTTGAGCTGGGTTTAAGATCTCTATCGATTATGCCCCGGTTTAAACTTCTGGCCAACTTTAGTTGCTTGTGCTCAGAGGGGTTAATTTTTCCGAGTTCAGGATCCCACACAGTGACAAGTTCATTAGTTGAAGCTATTGGGGATGGAATCAAGAAATTTGCACCAGATTCCTGCAGACCAAAGTAATAATTAAATTTTGGTAACCAAATAATGAGGTAACAATAACAAATATTAGTGTTTNCAAAAAAAAAAAAAAACTCTTCCAGCTCAGCAGGTGTTTGTAGGTTTGCTATGGTAGACTATATGTTCTACATGAAATTCAAACCCAACGGTTTACAAGAAAACCAAATAGCATGCTTTTTACCTATGGAAGTTCAATGTTGCAAAGGAAATAAAGACAAATGGAGTCACAAGATTCATTGATAGATTTTAAATGCAGCAGCATCCATATATATAGGCTATAGCCATGGAATTCAAATAATATTTAGAACATTCAAGAGGATCAAGAAACCCTACAGGCACTAAAAGGTACCTGGAAGACCACTCGATGTTCAAAGCTGCAGAAATCAACGACAACGTACAAATGGGAACCCCCCTTTTTTATGCTTTCGCGTTCCTTGATTTTCTCCATGGCTTTAAATGCAAGCCGGTCCAGCCAGTCAACTCTTTGAATTTGTCCTCTCTCATACTTATTCACAAGCTTCTCCAAACGTTCTAATTCTCCTCGCTCCTCTTTAGGGACCTAAACCGACCCAAACAACAACAACAACAACAACGACATAGCCTTTAGTCTCAAGCAGTCGGGGTAGGCTAGAGATGAAACCCAAGAGAACCATCGGTAAAAAATACTGAACCGACCCAAACGTTTAACATAAATACTGAACGGCAAGCTATCATTTAAATTGGAATATTCCGTACTTTTCCTGGTGTTGTTGTGTTTATAGAGCCATCTGCTTCTTTACCCGCCCAAAGTCTGAGCTTATGCTTCCCAGTCTTGAGCTGTTTCTTCATGTTAAACAGATGAATTGTCGCCCCACCAACCACTTCCTCATTTTTCCCACACGAAACATCATAGACCTATATATATATATACACACACACAATACCAGTTAACACTCCATTAAAAAAATAATGATAACAAAAAAATGTTTTATGCCAAATGTGAATCACAACACTGAAATTGTAACTACTTACCGTTAGGGCAAGTTGTGAATTTGCAGTCAAATCACGATATTTGGTACTCAGAGTAACAAGTTCATTCCAACAATATGACGGTCCAACGGATTCCAACCTACATTTTTGAAACCACCTCAATACAATATCACCCAAACACGTCCAAGCTAATCAGCTTTTGAAAGCAGAAAATCACACAATGAAATGAAATGCATAGAACTAAACCTCGTTCTCATGGGAAGCCCGAATGGCGCGCCATCAACGTATAACAAGCACTCGACGTACAACTCCGGTTTCCTCTCCTCTATACAGTCGCTATCATCTGAACAACCCAATTAACATTATGATCCCTTAAGCTAGAAAAAGCTCAATCAACAGGTCTTCAAACACAGCACAATTTTTCCAATAATTTACAGCAAAATCAACAATAGCCCTATAATCAGAAGATTAACGAAAGGAATTTGCATAACCTGAGTCTGGAGGCTTCAACGGAGACAGTTTCCCTTCCAATCTCTCGATTTTGAAGGTGAGGGGCAGATTAATGTCGCATGAAAGGAAGAAACGGAATTCATTGCCACTCATCGCCCTTCAACTATGCAAAGTACAAGATGATAATAACAACAACAACAACAACAACAACAAGAAGTTAAACTAAAAATAAAATCTGAAATTTATTTCCCTCTAGCTCTTGCAACCGTTTCTCCCTTCATCATCTCAATAACGGCTCAGCATTTTAATTTTTTTAAACCCTTTGAATTCAATTCTAACGCCCCCAAAATGCATATCTACTACATACTATCCTCTCAGCTACAATAGCACAATTAAGCTCTTTTCACAAAGTCATTTTTCCTCAGTGCATCATCAAGCGCAGTGAAAGCAAAAACATTCCTATCAAGCAAAATCTTTAATTTAATCTCCCAACACATGTATTCCTCCTTGTTTATTTATTTATTTATTTTTTATTTTTTTTTTGTATTCAGGGTGAATTTTTACAATCGATGTCCGAACCCAAAAACCATAAAAAGAAATTTAGTTCGGACAACGGAAGAACTCAAACCTTGTCTCGATTAAAATTAGTCAGTTCCCAAGCCGGAATGAACAAACCCCATTTTCGGTTGCGACACGCCCGGTTCAGTCGGGAAACTTGAATTGGTCATCCTTCCTTTCTCCTTCAGTCGATTGGAAATTTTAGGAGTTGGAATTTAGGATTATGGGGCTGTGGGTTTGAAACTTCTTTGTTTGTGCATAAATTGAAATCAAGCCTTAAAATTTCAGAATTTATTCCAAAGCGAATGAGTGATAGTGTGTTGCTGTGATGAATTTGCAGAAAAAGAAGAAAAAAGAAGGGGCGTTGGTTTAATAAGTTGAAGAGAAAGAAACGTAAAAGTGTGTGTGTGTTATTTGATGTCAATAGTTTTAGACTTAGTGGGTTTGTTAATATTTAAATTTAAATTATGATAAAGTTGCTAGGCTATGGGTTGTTAGTGGTATTGGGTTATACAAACTTTGTTATTGCTTGTTTTATTTTATTTTACTGTTGTTGGGCTAGGTTGGTAATTAGGCTATATATAGACTTGAAAAATTTTATTGTTGAGTTGGTTGCCTTCATTAATTCGATAAGAGCCTAAATTCATCTTTTGACCCAAATTCCGAGCCTTAAGGCTTAAACTCTAGTCATCGAGTAGAAAGTAATAATATTAAATTAATTTAAGAAATTTTAGAATTTATATTTTCTCCAAGAATATTATTAATTAGTTTGTACAATGTATTTATGTTGGTTATTTTGTTGTGTAGATACTGAGGATTGGGATACTTGAATTATTCGATTTTCGCATTCATTCACGTCTACTTGTTCAAAGTGGGGTTTCTTTTCCAAAACTCAAATTATTCACGTCTTGAATAAATGTTTCATTGTTACTATCAAATTATTTATGTGATTCTCCATGCAAGTCATGTAACCTTTGGGTTCGCCAGTTCATGAAGACCTCGGCTGGACAACTATCTTATGACCGATTATTTCATGTGTTAATTTGCACGTAAAATAGGACTCCATACCTAAATTCGCACGTAAATCAGGTTGGAGACAAGTCACACAAAATGTTTTTCATCTGGTAATTGTATGCTATTTAATCGTGACATATATTACCCAACTAAGCATATTTGGCTTACCATATTTAATCGTGACATGTATTACACAACTAAGCATATTTGGCTTACTCAATTTTTCTCTAAAACAACAGTTTCAGGTTGACGGAGCTATGTTACTTATTGTTTGAGTAAGTGATTATGCAGTGGATGTATTTGATGAAATGGTATTTTTTTTAATTTTTTTTTCCTTCTCTTATATGATGTCGGTTTCAGTGAATTCATAAAAATGTTTGTTAATTGGTGGAGTTTTATTTTCAAATGAAAGAATCGGGTGGCTACAAACTACCTGAATATGTGCAACAGTGCGAGATTCTTTTCGTGAAGATTTCTTCAACTGGCAACTTGTGAACTCCAGCTGAAAAATTATTTTTATCATTTTTATTTTTTCGCAAGATAAACAAAAGACATTTGCGTTTTTGGTAGCGTTTTTGTGGTTATGTAATAGTAATTACTTAGGTAAAATCATATAATTAGGCACAAAAAATTGCTATACTTTTTAATTATTCCACAATTTTTAGTTACCTTTTCATATGTTGTTAGTATACATTATGTATCCATGTATACTAACATATGTAGGCACAAAATATTGATTAAACCACAATCCACAATTAATTTTTAGCAATTATAGAAACTCATTGTTATATTTTATATCAATTTAAGGGTAATCATATTTTTCCAACTATTCTATTACATAGTAATACTAATAATTATAAATATAAAGAAGTTATTTACTATCAAAATTTCTATTGCAAAACTTTTCTTCACGCTATTTATAACCAAAGTACGTTAAAATTACTTAAACAATTCCTATAATGTAATAATAATAATAATTATTATTATTATGATAATTCCAGCCAAGTAAATGCGATCTCTTAAAATTATAAAAATTATATTATTTATTACAATTTATGTCATAAACATGTGATTCATATATAAATTATACAATTTATATTTTCTTGTTTATTTTTAGTAATTGTTAAAATTTTAAAATGTGATATATTTATTATTTAACTTATAATTTTAAATATTATGTACATACATATAATGTATAATATTTTATTTGTATCAACTACTAGTAACTTTGAAAGGGATGGATTTTAAGAATTAAGACGATAAAATCTAGCAACAATCTTTTTCTTTTAAATGTATAAGCCGCCAAATAATAATAATAGGAGTATTATCTGCAAATTTATACTATTAAATATAATTTTTTATTTACATTGTGGTTAATATATAATATATCAATATAGAAGATAAATAACTTACAACTTTGAAAAAATTATGGCTATTTAATTACAGTTCTACAATTGGATTATGTATGTATCTCATCCTTGAATTAGACGGTACTCTACAAGACTCAGGCGACCCCTTGGCGTTAGGCTGGTTAACCATCGTCAAGCGGACTAGGCAATTACAAGATTAGTCACGTCTCAACTGACTAGGCAATTAAGGCGGTGCCCTTTTTTTCACATATTAATTTTGAATTATAGTAAATAGAATTTTACTTTTATGCATAAAATATTCATTAGTTAGTAAATTGAAAAATAATAATTATAATAAAACTAGTACATGTACTGCACATTCTATTTAAGGGGCATGCCGGGGCCCAACGAGAAGCGGCGCCGCACCAGAACTCGAAGTGGTGGAACCGGCGGACGGGGAAAAATTTTTCGGCAAAAGACTGTAATTCTTAACACTTGTTTGAAATACTACTAATAATGAACACTTGTTTGAAATAATTTGGGAAAAGAATGCAATTTTGACTGCAATTTCGCTTTTTTCCAGATTTATATAACATTTGTTTTGTTCATAAAATGCGATTTATGATTATCATATATGCTAAATAATAAACGATATTATAATAATAAGTAAGTGAATAGATGAAACTATAACGCCCCACTTTTATTTGCCGAAAAAAAAAAAAAAATTCAAATTTATTTCAAAACACCTGATGCGCTACTCATTTTCAAAACGGACTCCAATACTTAACTAATTTATCAATACTCAATCAATCATCAAACTCAATCATCAACAATATTACTAACTCCCATAACGGGTTTTCCAAAAAAAATCATAAATCACCCAAATCGGGTTCCAACAATATTCATAGATTTTAAGGAGCATATTCTTAACATTATTGCATTTATAATTTGTAGATAAAATGTGTTGTGGTAGTTTTTTTATTTTATTTTCTTTTATTTTATTTTATAATTTGTATTAAAGAAATATGAATGACAAAAAGACGAATCATGTACTATTTTTTTATTTTTATTTTTTGGAATTTGTGGATGTACTAGTTTTCAGATATATATCACACTTAACCAAATCTAATTTGAATAATACACTGAGATTTCTAGAGTCTTACAAAGTCTTTGAATAAATAAAATACCTAAAGTGTGTATTTAACTAGTTATAAGCTACATATTCTACGTATATATTTATGTAACATCATATATACACTGCTTTTTGTATTCACCAGCCAATATTGCAATGACTAATATAGTAAAATTAAAGAAGGCAGCAAAGCAAAATTACCAGGGACTCGAGAAGAAAACTTGGGATGCCAACTCGTGATATATTTTGAAATGTCTGCAACTTGTTCTGCGCTGGCCATTCAAAGAACGAGAGGCTTATACGCATAAACACATTGAGAATTATCAGATTGAAGAAAGTTCAAAACAAATACGAAACAGTTTTTTGAGACCTACGTGTGTGTGCTGAGGCAAAGTTGATGTACAGATCATCTAAATCTCCTGGGAACCTGCAATAGATAATCAAAAGGAAAACAAGAAAACAGATAATCCATGGCAATAGAAAAATAATGTTAATCCCTGCACCCATGATTTTAGGGAATTAACACCAACACACGATATAAAAAAGGTTTACGAAATAAACATTCTGCAAAAACTGAGTCCAATACAATTCAGATCTCATTGTCCCAAACAGATAAAATTCAAGATAAATCCAAATAAACACCCAGATCTATATGAACCAGTTCTCTATCAGTTCTTCGGAGCAGCAGCTGGTGGTGGTGGGAGTGGGGAGCCTTCAACTTGAACGAACCAGTTCTCTATCAGTTCTATCGGAGCAGCAGCTGGTGGTGGTGGGAGTGGGGAGCCTTCAACTTGAACGAACTCCTTGATCTGCTCGTAAGTCAAAGAAAGTGCCCAATCCTGGCCAATCACTGAAAAGATCGCATCAATGGCAGCCTCGTACTCTGGGTTGTCCTTGATAAGGAAGGATATGAGAGACTCGTCTTCAAACATCTCAAAGACGGAGTGCAAGCTCTCATGAAGAGCACCCAGGGTTGTGTCCTTCTTCAGCTCCGTCTTCTCGAACTCAACCAGAACTTTAGCAAACCAAGATCTCATCTCATCCCCCTTGGCCTTCTCCTCCCCATGAAAATCTCCTTGAGCACCCTCTCCACCCTCTTCAGCCACTTCAACACCCTCTCCGCCCTCTTCAGCCTCTCCCTGAACATCCACATCGACAGCCTCTCCCTCAACATCCACATCAACAGCCTCTCCATGAACATCCACATCAACAGCATCTCCATGAACAACCACATCAACAGCCTCGCCATGAACAACCACATCAACAGCCTCGCCATGAACATCCACATCAACAGCCTCTCCATGAACAACCACATCAACAGCCTCGCCATGAACAACCACATCAACTGCCTCGCCATGAACATCCACATCTCCACCCACTTCACCAGAAACCTCATCTCCAAGTAAGAACAACAACCCAGCCTTCGACATTTTTGTTTTTGTCAATTTCTGAACCAGGAAAAATGAGAGGAAAAATGAGCTGCTCTGCTCTTTGTGGTGTTGTGTATAGAGAGAGAGAGAGAGTGCGATATACAGACGGTTATACTTACTGTGGTGTGACGTATATTTCGTACCTTTTTGTGAAATTAAAAAATTCACATATGAAATTTTGGATTAACGTCTCCAAAATAATAAAATTATATTAAATTTTAGATTTTTTTATTAAAAATATTATGTAAATATATATAAAAAAAATTATATTATATAAATTAATGTTCCCGAACATAATCGAACAAGCTCGTGTTCGTTCGTTAATTAAATGAGCCTAATTATCTGTTCAAACTCAGCTCGATTAACAAACGAATGAGCTTTTGTCGAACACGAACGAGCTTGAACAAGCTTTTGTTCGCAAAGTTTCGGTTCGTTTACAGCATGTGAGAAAACTGTTAAGCATTTGCAAGATTATGTTTATGAATTTTGGATTTATTTTGGTTTAAGCTTGAATTTTAAAATAATGTTATATTGAGTTCATTTATATTGAAGCTCAATTTTGGATAGTAATTTTATGATTAATGGATCGAATTTAGCCCAATTTGATAAGATGTAATTTTATGGATAGTAACTTTACCCCAATTTTCGACAAACGTCCCTAAAATATAATAATTTTTATCTTGTGAATAACACTACTTCAAATGCACAATATTTCAATGAACTTGTTCGATATAAAACCCTCGTGAGATGAACAAAAACAAAAGAACACGAAATTCTTTTCTATATGTTATATTGTTGCAACTCTTTATTATGTTTCTTCAATATCTGGTGGTGGGAATTATTTATTCAAACAAATGGTGTTTGGAATGCAAAAGGACGCAACTAGTTTATAGATATATATCTAACCAATCGGGGGCCACGACGAATGACACGTGCAGGCATCCTAATGCTCGTCTACCATTTGTTTCATTTGATCGCTCGCCAAACACATTTTAAGTCACTCATAACTTTTGAAATTAATTTTTTCTCTCTAAAATGGTTTTGACAATTTTTATAAGTTTTTCATTTTAACTTACACTAGTGCACAACATGTGTGATGTGTTTGTTCTATNTTTTTTCTTATAAATTCCGGTCCACTTAGTTGTTTCTCGTGTGTTTTATTTTATTTTCAGTTTTTTTGTATTATTTTTTTATTTTTTCTGTGTTCTTTTGCTCACTTGTCGTTAGTAATGTGCAAGTTCGAAGCTTTGACCCGATGTCGAGAGTTCAACCACTGCAAGGAAAAGGTGGACGTCCTGATTGTACGAGTACATTTTTCGATTCAGAACTTTCTTCAACCTTGACCAAAATGTGTGGAAATCAGCTATCCACATCGGGTAGAACAAGATTGAAGAAAATCAGCTTTCCGATTTGTGAGGGACGCAAGTTGGAGATCAGCTGGAACACAAATCGAGCAACAATGGATACTTGTGCCTGTAAAAGTCATCACACCCGCGACACTAGCGTTTCGAAATTGAATCTCGCCGGATTTTTGACATCTTTCTTAATCCTTAGTTATTGGGACTCTTGCCCAACTCGGGAAAAGGACTCCTTTCTATGTATTTTTGAACATTACTCTCTCTTGGTTTTTGAGAAGCCGAGAGTCGTGTTGACAAAGTCGAGAGTTTGTTTCGGACCATTCGGCTCGACACGAATCGTGTCGGAAGTCACACGACACGTGTTGGTCCTGGAAGGATTAAAAGATCAATTTTGTCGTGATTATTGTCTCTTGATGTCTTCTACGGCTTCTCACACATCTACCGGTGGTTGAACTTGCCATCTAAGTCAGTTCCGTCCGTTTCCGGCAACTCCAGCCACCCTCCTCGAGTGCAGTGAACAACAACTCCTCGGCGACGTTCAGTGCATATTTTTGGAGATAAAAGGATCTTAAAGTGGTCGGGAAGGCATACGGGTGGTCAGGGAGGCTTCTAGGTCGTTAACATGGCGATTATCGACTTCTCTCTAGATGGTCGTCGTCGGAGCTCCGGTGGAGGGCTTGGTCGAGCAGCTCCAGCTCAAAAATGGTGGTGTCACTACAACAAAAAAGAGTTCTAACAACATATATATGGTGACTTTTCTAATAAATGTAGTTAAAATTGATATTTTTGTGACGCTTTTCAAAAAACGTTACAAAAATAAAATTATAACAACACTTTTTAAAAAAATGTAACCAAATCATGTCACTTTTTCAAGAGTGTTACCGTGTTAACCAATATTGAGACATAAATAATGACATTTTATACAAAAATGTTATCATGTTTAGTTATATGGCTACACGCTTTTAAAAATGTATTAAAATAATAACATTTTTCAGAATGTGTAACAATTTTTACTAATATGACAACCTTTATATCAAAGTGTAGTTACGTCATTACACTTATACAATTGTGTTGCCATTTTTAAGCATATAACAATACTTAAGAAAACTGTAATTATTTGGTTATTAGTGACATTATGATACAAGCGTCAGCTTTATTTTACAACATGGTGATGTTATTACTTATTATAAAAAGGGTGATGTTATTATAAAAAGGTTATTGAATTATGACAATTATACAATAGTATTGTTCATTTAGTGTTAATATCATCAAATAACCATTTGAGTTTACAAAAGATGAACAATGGNAGAAATACCAATTTACCTCCGACTTAAATTTTCATTTCAATTTTTTTTCCTTTCCCCCGCCCAATTTTTCACTTTAGAATTTTTATTTCCTTTCCCTCCAATTTTTCCAATACCCATCTTCATTCGGCAACAAAAGGGATCCTCTCTGGAAACCACCTCCGAATGCATCTCTCCTCTCCGGCAACTCACGCACCCGCTACTCCTCACCGGACTACCGCTCGACGAGGAGATTTTCACGAGGGTATAAAAGGGAAATTTCAGCCCTAGGTCGCGATCCCAAAACATCCTCCCTCTCTCATTTTCAAATTGCCGAGCCTCCACCGCACCACCGGCCGAGCCGGCTTGCCAAGTCCACTGCGGCAGAGCCTCCACCTCGTCTATCTTGAGCAGCTCGACTCTCAAAGCCTGAGTTCCTCAAGGTGCGGTTGTTTAGTTCAGGGCTTGGTTAGGGTCTTTTTATCTTTTTTTTTTTTTTTTNTTCTTATATTAATAGTAATGATTTTTTTGGTCTAAATTCCTGGAGAGGTATTGAATTAAGTTTTGATTAGGGTTGAATTGAAGTTTATGAATAAAATTACAAAGCAAAGCATCAGAGTGGTACTAACTTCTAGTTGGAAAAACGGTTTTTGATTTTTCACTTGCTAATTTCTTGTTCTTCACTGAATTAGGTCTGGTTCATTTGATTTTTAAATGTTTGCTTCAACTAATGAGGTTAAGATGGAAATTTAGTTGGAATTCTCTGTTTTTTGCTGCCACGGGTCTTGATTTACTTTATGAAAATGATTTTGAATGCATTGTTAGGTTTCTGTTCACTCTGAATGCACGAAATTTTTTTTTATAATCAAGTTATCTAAGTTATATTTTTAAGAGTATTTTGAAATCCCATTCCAGATTTTGTCTCCACTGTGCATTCCAAATACGTTTGGATTTATGTGTTATTAACAATTTTATACCCTATAGTGTTTTATTATCTGAGTGGGGAAGATACGACATCAAATATGATCCAAAGAGATCATTTCGGCCCGCCTCTGTTCGTCCATTTTTGGGTCCCAACTATGGCCGTAAGAGTTCTTTTGTGTCCTATGGTGTTATCCATTATCTTGTATGTGGGTCTAAAGCTCATCTTTCCCCTAATTTTCAGCTACGGTGGACAATGCCTGCCACATTGGTTCTCCTAACTGAAAATGAGTAGAGTTGTTGTGGTTTTGAAATTTAGATTGCTCGTGTGCTAATGCGCTCGTTCCTGGATTGAACTTATTTTTTATGGACTATAGATTTGTTTGAATATGTCCGGCATATGTAAAATATTTTCATATTTATTTGGATTGATAGATATTGGAAAATTGTTTACAAGTCCATTATCCTTAGATTGTTGATTCGTCATTAAGTATCATTCCTTGCTTTGTTGACATATGCTAATCTTTGTTCGAGATCATAATTATGAAATACGAATGTATAACTTAACTTTGTTGATCTTTCCTGTCTTTTTTTTTTGTTTGGTAGTAGGAGTACATGGGGCATCACTTTCAGTTTGATCTAATATATTCATGGAAGGTGAGGTATGAACACTTTTTATTTTTTAACTTTTAACAAGAATTCATTTGTTGTATTAGGAAGAAATTGCCACACCAAGAAAAGTTCACTAATGACAATCAAATCTATCCTAGAGCTAAAATAGCAAAGCACATGGGATTACTACTGTCTTTTGTTAATAAGAGATAATATATGTTTGTATAATTTATTATTTTATGTAGCTTGATATGTTGTTATTAACATGCACATGTTCTTTTTTTCTCAGGTTTATTTATTTCTGGGATCCCGAAAATGTATCCTAGACTTGATTGCCCAGGTCCTCAACGTGATTTCTCAGAAGCAGAAGGCCGCTCTTAGAGAGGTTTACAAGAACAAGAAGTACTTGCCGCTTGATCTCTGCCCCAAGAAGACCCGCGCCATCCGCCGCCTCCTCACCAAGTACCAGATATGTTGCCTTATTTTCTTGCTTTTTTCCTACGTACATTTCAATCATCTGATGGTTTAGTTTTTGTATGGCTGTTGGGGCTTGTCCCAAAACTGCATCTTTAGTTTTTTATTTTTTTCCTTTTCCCATGATATATTTATCAGTAAGTGCAATTTTTGTGTTACAAGTGAATTATATATACAGTGGCCCAATTACTTGGTCTTTTTTGTATGTTTATATCATGTGCAGCTTAATTGGCTTATTTATCATGCTAGATTGCAAGAATGAACACTGATTTAATTGGGAACACAACTCTAAGTGAACAATTATGTTTATGTCTGCAAATGTCTCTCGTTTTGATGGGCGCGATTAGGTCAGGATTGTTAAACTTTAGCTGATGAGTGTAGTGTTGAAAAAGTGTGTACTTTAGTCTAGTGCCCTTTTGATTCCAGTTCGTGTATATCTTTAAACTAATTTTGGTGTATATCATTCTAATAAATCATCTTTTAACCTTATAATGTTTAAAATTCAGTTCGTTTAGTCAAATCTTCTTCTGAATTTATACATCTGAAAGTGCTATTTTTCTCTTTAATTGTTTGAAGTGATTATTGAATTTTAATTTTCGTTAGTATGTTCATGAAGTTTTGAGCTTCATTAATAATTTAAATAGGCTGAGACATACTGGTGTATGTCAAAGCTTGCAGACACTTCCATTGGGAGCTATGAGATCGTGAAATGGCGAAATGCAGAACGAAGCAACTACCGAGCAACTGTATAAGCTAGTACACACTGTCTGGAATGAGGCTGAAGCAAATGTAACGGTATCTAGATTCTGCATGTGGTTCTGCCGTTGCTTGTTGATCAATTGATCTGACTAGTTATACTACTTAACTAGTTATAGCTCTTTTTTAATAGCAGCACAATACAAATATCTCCTAAAATAACGATTATTGAGATAGCCGGCCATTGCATGATTCATTTCCATGCTTCTATTGATGATGAGTCCTCTTCTTTCTTGTTAGGTATATGCCAGTGTGGAAGAGTAAATATGTGCCTCTAAAGAAGAGGTTTGTGAATATATTTCATCACATCACAGACAAGCCTACATCCATCCAATTTCTCATTCATGTGTGATAGAAACTACTCAAGTTCTTTTTTTAGGTAAAAGGAAGCTTTGATATGGGAAATTAAGAGGCAGCAAAGCAAGACCGACGGTGAAGGTTCAAATAACATAGATGGAAGAAATGTCTTCTCTTGGTGAAGAAACACCAAGAAAAGCAACAGGGGTAGTAACAAGAACAATCTGAATAGTAATGCTGAAACTCTATTCAACAAGTTCAAATTTGGCGTTTCTTCCATTTCTCCTAAGTGCTGGAACAAGTATATTCCTCTTGAAACGTATGTTGGTAAGTAATTATATTTAAGGGTTTCATGTGAATTATTTTTTTCTAATCGGGTCACTTTGATGAATAGAAATTGATATCAATTTTTGTTATTTTATTTTAAAACAGGTTTGTACTTATATATGAGGAGTGTAACGGGCACATATATCGTCACATATCTTGTTTATTCTATATTATTCTGAATTATTCAAAATTGTTTTATTAGACAACAATGTGGTTTCTTTTTATTAGGTTATTAGAATTTTACATTTTATTTATTATAGTATTGTTTGAGTTTTATTATAATAATTTTTGTTTCACTATGGAATCTCTAGTATGTAGATGTTAATTATTATATGCAAGGTTGTCAAAATCGGACCGGTCATTGAACCGGTCAAGCTACTGGTTCAATGGTCCTAATGGTTGAATCGGTTGGACCGTTATTTAATTTATTGATAATTTTAAATATATATATATATATAAAAAATATTTTATAGATATAGTTAACTTAATTTTTAAGTTATTTAATTTATTGATATTTTAAATATATAATACTTTATAAATATTAAATATAGTTGACTTAATTTTTAAAAAAGTTGGTCCCACCATAGATAGATTAAACAATAAAATGATAGTACAAAAATATGAAAAAAAAAGAAATATTTTCTCACACTCCCATATTAGGCAATAAAATAATAAGAAATAAAGATGGGATATAGGAAAAGAAATTCCTTCCACACGCAAGTAAAAGGGAAAAGAATTTTTTTCCACGCGTGGCTTTTATCCTTTACCTTTACAATTGAAAATTTATAATTCTTACATCTTGTCCTACATTGGTAATCATAAAAGGTTAGTTGCTTTATAAAAGTGTTAGAATTTATACATAAAAATTATTTGACCGGATTGGCAAAAAAAAAATAAAATAATAAAAAATAAATTGACCGGTTGAACAAACCGGTTTTGGCCGGTTCGATCGGTTCGACCGGTCATTGACCGATTTTGGCCACAGCCGGTTTCTTTCATTGAACCGGACCGGTTAATTGGTCGGTTCCCGGTTCAACCGGTCGGACCGGCCGGTCCGGTCCGATTTTGACAACTATGATTATATGTGTAACTAATTTGATAGAATATTGTTGCCAATTTCATAATAACGACACATGAAAAATGTGTTGCATATTGATAATTCTTAACACTCATATTTTGTGTCACCAAAAGCTATAATGACACACTTAAAAAAGTGTAATGTATTGAAAATTGCCAACAATATAATTTCGTGTCAATATAATTCATATTAATGACATTATAAAAAAAGCGTCATGCATTGAAATTTACCAACACTTAAATTTTATGGCACAACTCGTAATAATAATGACGCGTTCAAAAAAGAGTCACCCACTGAAAATTACTTACACTAGTGTATTGTCTAACTATATTATATTATTATGTACTAACGACACACTTTTGAAAAAGTGTCGCGTATTAAAAATTACCTACACATATAAGTTGCGTCACAAATAAATTCGTGTCATCAAATTTAGCAACGTAACTCGTGACACTTTTGCAAGTGTGGATAAAATTATTTGTGCAAGTAATAAATATCACCGAATAAAAAAAACTAAGCGTCTTTAAATGCAGCTTAGTTGTAGTGCATGAACAATGAACAACTTCTCGTGCATGCACAATAAAGAGAAAGAAGATGCTCTCAATCCATGTCCAATGACCATTGTGCCCTTACTGACTTTTGACAATTAGGCCCACACACTATATCACTTACGCTGATTTTTATGTGGAGCAAGACCATATCTAATGAGCTAGAGACATTACTTGGGCCTAGCACTAACCTCTCTCCAAGAGTTGTGCACTCAGACCCGGCCATTGCATGGTTCCACTATGTTTTTTTGCGTTTCTTGTCGTTTTCATCTCTAATTATCTATTCGACATCATTTTCTATTAAGACTCAAAATAACACACCTCATCATAGTTTAATAAATTTAATTAAATAAATAATGAATTATATATTAAACTACGATGAAACGAGCACGAAAATCACTATAAAATGCACGTAAAAGTGACACAATGTCAATTTTCTCTTGATTTTGATCTTGGAGAGTGACACTCCAATAATCGACTTGTGCATTTGATTTATTATTGTGGATTGACATTCGACTTCAATTTAATTGTATGTTTTTATTTTCTTTTATCGTTGGATGTGCTTCTTGTGGTTGAATTGACTGTTTGTGTTAATTCAATATGATGAGCTAAATTCATTCGCTAAAGATAAGAGATAATTGTTATTGTTCTTGTGATAATCCTGCTTTTGGATTTCTCATATTGTGTGAGTTGTGCTATTCCTAGGGTATATAGATTGATCACTTTCTAATCCAATTAAACAACTACTTAGAGCCGAAAGTGGAGAAGTTGTCTGACCTAGGCTCGTATAGGATAGATATGTTTGTAACTGAATTTTCGTTTATGTTTATCATCTTATTACGAAAACATATTAAGGTTAAATTTCTAGACGTGTAGTTAATCAAATCATTTAACTGAATGATCAATTGTATGGTGTTTACAATTAAGAACGATTATCCTCAACTCCTTGGCGTCTTTATCAATATTCAATACTTGTTTGAAGGTTGAAACCTGAGTATTTACATCTTTTGGGATAATTAATTATTAATTGAAACCAAAATCATTTGAATTAGAATTTAAGATTTAATTCCTCTTTTTCGTATTTGAATAAACTAGTACGAATCCCGTGCGATGCGCGGGTAAGAGATATTCATTAATATTTATAAATTACAAATGCTTATTAAATAATATTTACAAATTAAAATTATGGAATCAATATAGAATATAACATATATATATATATATATTAATTTATTGAAAATGTTACATAAAATTTAAATTGTAAAAATTTACATAAAACATGTTTATTTATACAACCCGTACCGTGCATGTAACTACTAATAAATTATATTATATGCATTTCAAAGTAAGTGTCATTTTAAAATTGTTATTTAGAAATTCGATTTGACTACAACGTTATTCCATAAATTAATATTTTGCTAAAATTTTACCATATATTTAAGAATCTATGTGAATAATAAGTATAATTATAAAACTTATATTGTTTCATTAATTAAAATGATTATGTTTTGCATAAACTATTCAAATTTTAAATAATTAAGTGGTTGAATAATTTATTAAGTTATAAATAATTGACTATTCCATTTACGTTTAAGTTAATATTAACCCGTAAGTTATGAATAATTATTTATTTGAGTTTTCACTTTTCAACTTGAAACCCAAATTTTATCTACACAATAAATTATATATATATATATATATATATATATATATAAT